TGTTTGGCCTATATTTCTTAATTCAGTAAATGTGAGATTAAAAGACATTAATTGCCGCTATAGTTGTTCGGATCTCTCTTTATTTCCACTGTTGTTTGGTCATTTCTGTAATCTGATCTGTAATTAATATTACTACAAGATTAAATATTCATGTGAACTGACAGTAACTGATCTTAGCCATGACTAAGTGGTAAGAAGTTCAACTCCATTCTGAATAATCAAACGTCCCTACTTTCGAATCACAGATTCTCCAAACGTGGAGTTACGCCTGAAAAATGTACGACTGATATGCCTAAAATAATAATTCTAGTTGATTTATTTTTAAACAGTCCCTAGGTATCAGTAAGTTAGGGCTGAGGGCTCCATAAAAGGCCCAAAGGAGATAAATAAAGTCCAGGCATTTTTCCTTTTCGGAATCGCTGTGGTTCGTTATGGGGCTAGCATGCCCTCTGCTGCAGGTTCCAATCCAATTTGGATCTTTGTGTGAATCACCATAACTAATTTGCTTTTTCATCTCAAGATTTCACGTCTGAAATGCAGTCAATAGAACGAGTTATACATTAGTATTATTGAGTATTGTAGGCCCTTTCCGCTATAGTATATATAAGGAAGATAGGCAGGGAGATAGGCAGAACCTTTGCGAACCCTATTTACAGAGAGATGCTGTCAGATCCTGTATGTAATTGAAAGCCATATATGTACAGGATATGAGTCGTTGTTGTCTGTCAAATGTATGAACAGCAAGTAAACTAAGATTGAGTCTTCTTATAAATGCATCGCCGCTTTCAGCAAGAACAAATGTGGAAGGAAGTTAATTCCAGTCTTAAATGACTGGGGGTAGAAGAAGTTGGCCCGCACTTCAAATTTGGCATGGTGTTTCTTCATTTTGTATGGATGATCTCGGAGATGTGTCGTTTGTGCGAATTCAAAGAAATGAGCCCTCTGAAGAGCACAGTCTACTCCCCTGATGAGTTTGATCACAAATAAGGTTAGGCACAATTCTAGGGAGCAATTAATTCGGACCATAGGATTTTGTTATGCCTTACCAACAAAACTCGGCTTGCCAGAGTATTCCTTTAATTAGATAAAACTCCCAAATTTGCATCTGTTTTAGGATTAAAAGAATTCTGAATATCCATCTGACGCCCATGCAGCTGGACCGGAAAGGCAACCCAGGTTGCATAGAAGCGGTGCTCAGAGGTAACCTATAAGTAATACAGTAATTATGAGCGTTCAATTTTATCCTAAGGAGCGGATCTATAGTTCACACAGTCCATCCTTTGGCCCAAGGTTTTCTGTTCAGTCGACTCATCTGAGCTATGGGACCCCAACCGGGAACTGTAAGTTG